AGAGAGATGGGGGGGGGGGGGAGAACGACCCAACGAGCAAAAGACAAATTAATCAAATACCTAGATACTCTAAAGTGAGAGTACTCAAAAATCTTTGATTTATAAGTTCATCTCCACTAACAATCTCCTAAACTCGTGTTCTGTTTGCTTATTTTTGTTTTGTTTTTAGGTGTTTTTTTTCAGAATTTCCAAATAATCAATCATGGAGGCCTATCACGGATCATGGAAAATCGACATCGCCCAGACGAAGAACATGGACGAGTTTTTGAAGGCGGCAGGTAATAAATAGGACGAGCTACACAGTTGGGGAATGGGGCAGAGACTTTTCGTGTGTATTTGTGTGTGTGTTTGTTTTTATTTTTTGTTTGTTGTTGCTTGTTTTGGTTGGGGTTATTTTGGTTTGTTTGTTGTTGTTGTCTTGTAGTTTTTTGTTTTGTTTTTTTGTTTGTTGTTTTTTTAGGGGGGGGGGGGTTGTAAGTGTTTTACGACGCTGCTCGCAACTCCATAAGGTCATATGAGCGTGCGGGACACACCTGCTATTTTCAGTTGGTAGGAAATTTTGAATTTTGCTCGTGAGGCGGCCGAAGCCTACTCTTATCGATTTAAGACTCCAAGGGATCTTTAACGTGCGCAACTTGCACACGGGCCCTCCGAGATTTTTCGCCCTTGTCCGAGAAGGCTAGGTGTAGATTTTTCCTACCAGAAAATCAGGGGTGTGGCTGAAAGACAGCAGTAAGAAGGAGCCAAGGAGTACCAGTAGAAAGGCTGCAGAAAGAGTCAGGAGCCCAACAAAGTGGGCAAAGGAGGTGAGGTGATGGGGGCAGAAAGAGGAGACGGAAAGCAAACGACTGAACATTGCTAGAGAGCATGAAGGGAGGTGAAAGGAGACAATTTTATAGAAGAAAATGTTTCGGTCGCTACCTAGATTCGAACCCTGGAATTTTGAATTTGAGGCCAACACCTCAACCTCTAGCCACGAGAGTCCCCCGTTTGTATACGTGTGAATATACACATATAAATATGTGTGTGTATGTTTGTTTTAGTAAGGTTTTGCGGCGTTCGCAACTGCATAAGGTCATATGAGCTCTAAGGGGTGGATATCAACAGAGAAGTCCAAACCGGGAATCAGGCTTACTCTGCTCACCTATTAGGCCTCAACAGCTCACAGTCTGCTTCGACTCTCAAGGCACCCCGGAAATAGCGGGTCACAAAAGAGTGACAAACATACAAAAGAAGTAAAGGGAAAATAACGATAGTAAGGCTGAAGAAAGAAAAAGCAGCAGTTCTCCCTACCTATCTATGTTCCGACACAGTATGAGCATGACATTGATAAATCAGCCCACTTAGAATTCTATTCTGCATAAGAAGCCTAAAGACACTCCAGTCAGTATCACTGCCTTTGGGGGGGGGGGTATGTAGATTTGTTGATATAAAGGCTGTGAAGGGACCTTGGACTACCCGCTTATGCAGAACACAAATATAATAAAGGTAAATAAAGTCTGTATCATCTAACTCTGACACATTCAAAATACATGTACGTTAAGTGTGTGTGTGTGTGTGTGTGTGTGTGTGTGTTTGTGTGTGTGTGTGTGCGTGTGTTCGCGTATGTGTGTATGTGTGTGCGTGTGTTCGCGTATGTGTGTATGTGTGTGTGTGTGTGTGTGTGTGTGTGTGTG